TTTCTCAAAAGCCCGGGAAAGAATAATGGAGAACAGTGAAGACTAATAGGTAATATACAGGAATCGAAAAATTGTAAGGGTAAATTGCGAGTAATCCCAAAAGCATTCAGCCTCTCTATGTAGTAAGTCATACTGAAACTTTCTTCGATTACAGTAAACCATGAGAAGACTAAGAGAGAGATTAGAGGTAAAGGTAACACCAATATAATTGACCTTTGACACTGTTTATCAAAGAGTTTCCAACGACACTAGCATTATAGTGCTTAGATGCTGTCCATACCTCGGGTTAAAGTTAACAACTGAACATTTAGACGGATTAAGTATGGGACCATTAACAACAAATCACCATTCGATAAGAAACTAAAACTCATGCATTTCTATGGGATGTAAAGAGGAAGAAATCGGCATACATACAGTGACATCGTCTGCATATTTCTCAAAAGTGTTTTCTGTGGAAGATGACAGATCATGCAGAAAAAAAAGAGAAAAGAGAAATGAATAAACAGCCCCTTGTGTCACACCTTAATGAGACAGTAGAGACGTTGAACACTTCCCTCCAAACACAGTATACTGTTCTCTTTCAGGGAGGCAGTTAGTTATCCAGCTGTCAGCGTTTTCATATCTCGAAAATTGACATTTTAAGGTCAGGGTTAACTTCACGTTCACTCACGCTATGGAATGTCCTAGTAGCGTTCCTCAGGGATCATTATTAGGACCTCTTCTCTTCTTGATCTATATAAATGATCTTCCACAACAGGTATCGTCTGACTTATTACCTTTTGCTGATGATGTGAAACTTTGGGTAGAGATACTCAACCAAGAGCATATATTGGCACTTCAGGAGGATCTGACTCGACTTCATAGAACTTTTCATATAATCTTCAACAGTTTGATTTGTTCCCATTTAGAGTACGGAAATACAGTATTTCCTCCCTCACTCCAAAAAGACAAGGACACTATGCAACGTATCTAACGACGAGCCAGGAAATCGTTCGGGTATTCGAATTAAAACCTTATGGAGGGCACCTCAAATCACTGAATCTTTACCTAATAGAGTACAGACTAATTAGAAGTGACCTTCTAATGGCTTACAGCATCCTAAATACTTCTGGACAACCCCTTAAACATCTACTTAGGCTTACGGATAACACCCAGAAACTGGAGACACAACACAGCTGAACGTACTGTAGACACAACTTCTACTCCTTAACAGTAGTCAAATGCTGGAATTCACTGCTGGCTGAGCTAGTCCAGGCGACTTCTCGGGAGTCTTGTGAGAGAAAACGTGACCTATTCTCAGGGACTAAAAATAACATATTATTATAATTTACCAATTTTTTTTCTATTGCCGTTAATACACCTAGGTTATTTACTGAAGGTATTGGAGATCCACTGCTGTTAGACACAGGAGTCTGTCAGACGAAAGCTTCTTCTATTCCGTCCACAGACACATGAATCATTTCAGTCATTTCATGGAGAAAGTCGCTTATCCAGTCTATGACCTTAAAATGGATTCCAAAACTGTTCACGTCTAACTTGTATTTGAAGTTTGTTTTTGTTAGCCTGCAACGACTCATTTTGATGGAAAATGAATGAGGATAAATTATTGAAACTTTTTATAAACTTTGTTTGAACACTTTACTTAATGAGTAGAGCGCGACACCCCGGTTGGCCAGACAAGCGGCTGTGATGGTATTGTGCAGACATAGTCCCAAGGTTGGTTTGTATTTCATGATGCTAATTAGTGTTCGGTTATACTGACTTCGGTCGACCGTTTTGGTTGCACTTAGTCACTTGTGTGCCAGCTTTGTCATAGTTACTCTGATTTTTCATACAGTCCCTCTTTGTTTTTTTTCCAGATGCGTTAGGACCCCCAAAAATGTCCGACTTGTCCAGCTGTTTTTGCTTGTCGAATAACAGATCTAAAGATCTAACCACATTACTGAGGGTTGGTGATGAGGATTCGGTAAGTCCAAACTGATGATTGTGCCTTGGTTAGTTTACTTCAGGTTCCGTTCTGGTTACCTTGAAGTGTTTGTGTTCCTCTTCGTCATAGTTACTCTGATTATTGACTACGTACTTTCTTTTTTTCTAGAGGTGCTAAACCGAACGAGTGTACATGCATCGGTAAGTCATCACAGTGATTATATCGAGGAGCGGCTGAGGCTTATCTGAATTATGTATTCACTTGAATGTGCCAATGAATGTCATGTTATGAGTGATTAATACGTGCCTTTTGTCCCTAGGTATTTGATGGCTACCATTGAAGGTCAACAGAAGACTAAATGGATGCTACTTCTTGTGGTCTATGTTATCTAACGTGACTTCCAAATATATTTTTTATAGAACGTCTCATTTCTGTATATCACGATGGATCGGGATTGTCTTTAGTACCCTAAACATACAATGATGGTATATTGCTTAATCAAACGGTCCACAGTAGTGTGAAAGTCTTGGAACTGACAATATTGTAAAGATAGTCAGTGTTGTATCTTCAGGATAGCGATCGGTAGCCGTGCATTGGATTTTAGTCATGGGTTTACGTTCGTTGTTACTTAAGATGCATCTTGCAAAATAGCTGAATTAACAGCGATCTACCGTCTTTACTGTCAGAGGAACTAGGCTGATTGTGAATAATCTCGTTAGTACATTCATAAGTGCATCCATAATATTGTCCTGATTCCTCGCTGTTGATGCTAGGGTAACTAGTCCGTGATGACAACCTGTTTAACAGGTTGGATGGTCGTCCCTTAGGCTTCTGTTGCTTTGTGAAAGAGCCAGGTTGCGAGGGTCCAGTGACCGCCTGTAGACGTTCAAGATAGGCAGACAGTTTCGCACTGCAGTGGTGCCGGTCGTTTCGTGACTAAGTCAGAATAATCTCAACGATTTGTCTTTGGTATATGCCGTACAGCTGCTGCAGAAGTCGTCATTGGTCCGTGTATAAGAGTCTTGAGCGTTTCGGAAAGTATGGGAGGCTTGATGGTTTGTGTTAGTCCTGGCAATGATGGTCTCAGCTGATCCAACTTTTTTTGGAGGAGTCGACGGACGGAGCCTCAACCACGTGCTGAGGCAATGAATTCCACTGGGTGATTCGATGGGAAAGTCGGTAGTCAGCTGACAAGTAATTCGTTCTGGGCTTGTGAACTCGTAGATTTTCTGTTTTGGAAGACAAGAAAAATGTGGACATCAGGTGCAAATTTGTCATTAAGCAATTTGAAAACTTTAGTCAAGTCCCCTCTGATTCTTCTATATGACAGCGGGAATTATTCATCGTGTATGTATCTGTACCCTGATGGCCAATATGCATCACAATACACTTGGAAGTGTTTATCGGCAATTGCCAGGTTTGGGACCATTCAGATAATCTCTCCAGGTCATTTTGAAGTTGTTAGCTATCGCCCTTGCTTTGTAACGCTCTCCATATCTTGACATCGTCAGCATAGAGTAGGACCGATGATGACAGTAGACAAGGAAGGTCATTTACATACAGGAGGGATAACACTGGTCCCAAAACTGTACCCTGGGGGACTCCACTAATCACAGTTTCCCAGCTAGACAACTTGGAGTTCGCTCTCAATCATTGTTGACGCCCAACTAGGAAGTCTTTTATCCACATCAATAGATTGCCTCCAATCCCGACATTCCTTAGCTTATATAACAGCCGGTTATGCGGAACTTTGTCGAAGGCTTTGCTGAAATCGATGTAAGCTACGTCTATAGGTAATTTTTGGTCCTTAAGAGCGCACCAGCTTTCACGAGCGACTAATAAGTTTGTGAGACAAGAGTAACCTGTTCTAAAACCATGCTGCTTTTCGGAGAGGATCCGGTTTTCATCGATATACTTAAACAGCCCCTTCCGATTAATCTTTTCTAAGATTTTAACAACCACGCTAGTTGGGATAATGGGTCGTTAATTCTCAGGCTTATGTTTTGTACCTGTTTTAAAGACTAGACTTACTATGGCGTTCTAGTCTTTTGGTAGACGACCCTGGGTTACGGATAGATTAAAACATACACTTAAAGGGTTCGCAACAAAGTTAGCTAATTCCTTTAGTAACCTAGGATGCAGCTCATCAGGTCCAGTGGATTTACCTATGTCAAGCTTAACTAGCAGACCAAAGACATCGAGTTCTTTAATGGTTACGCTGTCCAGTGCTTGTGTGGGGGGATTTTCATTGACTGGTGAGAAGGGTGTTTCTATGGTATATACATTGCTAAAGTATTTAGGGAATACTTGAGCTTTGCCAAAGTCGTTCTCCACTAGTGATGAGGCAGTACTGTCTCCTCATAGTGAAGTCGGCGATACTTGAAAGAGCGGTAGTGTGTCCGTCTTACTGTTGTTAGTAAGTTGAGTTTTAGCGTATAGTACGTCAATATCCTAGCGAGTGGAAACGCACAAAATGCATCACATTTTTAGGCAGTGACGACGATATGACTCTGCGGGACCGTGGAGGACGCAACTCCTCACTCTGAACGTCAGAAAACAACCAGTCCTACCTTTTTAATAACCCGCACGACATTAGTTCCACGGGATTTTGTACATTTGCACTGGCGACTTGAGACCCTAAATAAAGCAGTGGTTTGTGCGCGCTTTATACGCATTCTGGGTGTCTACCATTGTTCTCTTCGGAAATAATTTGAAGGAGTTGAATTTCGTCCGCTCGGTCGCAGTTTGCTGATTTTGGGTGTTGTTCAATCAAGTCTTGGGCTCTAGCAAATTTTGAGAAGCATCCAATATCAGGGATTCTTTGTCCAAATGTTTAATAGGATTTTCACAAAATTGACCATTCCGGTCTTAAAGTTGGGACCTTGGGTAGATTGCTGTAATATAAAGAAAGGTTGAAGCCATTCACCTGAACGACGATTTACATAGGTTCCCTTTAGTCAGATAACTAAACCATATTTCGGTAGCGCTTGTGTCTTATTTTCCTTCCCACTCCTACTGGGACTTCCAGGGAACAACGAAGACAGTTTCAAATCAGTCAAGTCGTTTTTCCTGACTGTTCTATTACGCTTGGTATTTCCTATAGCTGTGTTTTATATTACGACGCAGTGTTCGTCCTACAGATTGTGATGGAATATTGGCCACCTATACTTGAAAGCATATTAGTATCTTGGTTGCATGAACAGAATTTGCATCTGGGAAGTACTACTAAAACTTGTGTAATTAAGAAATACCGCTTTCTCTGCATATAAATGAGGTCTATGTAAACTATGTTTATGTTAATGATATATCTAGTTAAAAATGGTGATAAGCATGACATGGAGCTGTTATAGGAAGTTCGACTAATAAGTACAATTTATAGAAAGGAAAGTTATCTTGATTATTCAGAAGTGGGGATGCGGTAGAAATAACGACAGGTAGAATCAACATAACCTCAAAGTAACAAATTCCCGGTTCACTTAGCGAACCTTAAGTTTACATTATATAACAAAATTTGGACAGTAAATGGATTCAGAATAGTAAAGAAGGAGTGCAAGTTTGTAGATACTTCTCAAAATAAGTTGATCTGCTCTTGTGACGCTTGCTGGATGCCTAAAGTCTCAAATACTTTGCATTCGAGGGCGTTGATGGTGCTTCTAGGTAGACGTTCACTACGCAAGATGGATTCTACTTTATCAAAGTTCAACGTACAGGCAACATCTTCACTAACAACAACCATCATTCCGGCGAGTTCGGCAACAGCCACATAAAAACTGGGTTCCGAGTCAATTGTAGATAGATTTTTTGTTTCGAAGACTGAGCAACGCGGCCAGACAACAACACGTACATAACCAGTGGATTTAGAACGTGCTACGAATACGTTGTGGGCAATTTGTAGATGTTGACAAGATGAGATTACTATCCATAAACAGCTAGAATAAAACACATTTCAGAAAGATATCACCAATAGACTTAAGGGTTGCCTATAAACATAAAAAAGAGGTTATCATTAAGTAGCATTCCGTAGCGCGCATGATAACTACCTAATCATAGTGTTACGAGTATCCAATTGTATACCTGGTCAGTCGATTACGTGACTTTCTTGACGGCGTTGTAACTGCTTAATATTTACATTCGATTTCAAAAACGATCACACAGTTTCTGAAATTAATGCATCAAAATAATTGCCGATGAGTACTGATTTTCGGAAAAGTGGGGTATACGTTATATCTGCTCCTAATCACACACAAATATATGGGATGCTATGGAACAATATTCAGACTATCAGCTTAGTTAAAATCCTATGCAGTCGTAGTTGTTGCAATACGGGAGTACCGCCAACTCAGTAAAGTGCTAGTCGTATGTGAACTATTAACAAAACTTAGTACTTACATCAATAATTTAATATTAGACCCAAGGAATACCACAATGGCTGCTCAAAAATGCGACCATTCCTGATTGAAAAGTATAGTGTGCGACCACGGATAATATTTTAGCTTCGAAGTACCGAATAATAAGTTTTAGTACATCCAGTTAAACGGTACGTTTTTTTAGATGATTGTTAAGATTTTAATTTAACATTTTGATTAGCAACATGCCAGATTACCTAATTTGTTTAATAAGCCTGTAATGTGTGCGTTTTTCATTTACATGAATGTCCTCATTATTTGTAAAAAACTTTGTTGTTGGTACATTCAAAATAATAAGAAAGAATGGGTCATATGATGCCCAACATTTTATATTCCATGAACATGGAAGTAAAATAAATGAATGTTTCTTTTTCACTTTAACAATGTTAAGCAATTCAAGTAAACAACATAAAGTTACGTCGTTTATTTGTACAGCAATTACAGCGACTTGCAGATTGTGGACGACTTTATCAAATTAATTGTCTCTATTGATAGTCACAACAACTGCAGTGTCTTTATTGAAATATGTGAATAGTTACCAATGGATTAAAAATAACATGACAATGATACCCAATCCAATACACACTTATACTATGAAGAGAATAAAATGGTTTTATAAGTCACTTCTCTAGAGCATCTATTTACTGCAATGGACATATTTATTAAGCAGCAGTAGTGTGAAGTTACGTGAAATAAGATAACGTTTATGATTACAGACAAGAACTTGCGTAATACAGTGGAACTGAAGTTAGTGACAAATTTTTGTGTGGAATATTATTTGCAGCTACACAGAATAAAATAAGTTGAATAATGATGGAGTTTTGCTCTCTGAGATAGATGGTTTGGTCGAGCGATGAAAGCTCCACTACCAAACCATTTAGCTTAGAGAAAAAACTCCGTGAAAACCATCCAACTGAGCTACAAATCTCCACCATCTCATAAGTTGAATACCAAGAAACAGTTATAAACAGTCTCATACTGACATATACTTAAATTCCTACTACGTTTGGACTAATAATTAAATAGAAAAATTAGTCAATAATCCAGTTTCCTATAGAATTCAGGAAACTGCCCTGCATTTAATGTGACTTACTAAGAGTACACATTATTATCTATATAACACCTACAACTACTTAACATGTACTTTAATTTGCTTTGTCAATATGCTCTTTATCAGGTTGAACTAAGTGAGGATAAAAACATACAAAGTCAAAGTTGATTCCGTGAATGATGACCAAATTAAAAAAAGACGGGGAAATTAACTAACTTACTTTACAAATCGATCCAATTCTGTTAAATCGGTTAATTCAAGAACAAAATTATCTACGGGATGATCAACCAATTCATAGTAAAATAAATTTTCGTATTTCAATTTAATATCCTAGATATAGAGAAAATAATGATTTACTTGTTTCCAAGACAAATGTATTTTTGGAAAGAAAAAGACGCACTGTGATTTATAAAATAACGAAAAAGAGACTACATATTTTTTACCTAAATCAAAGAGACATAAGCCGTTCAAAGTGTGAAATATTAGAACGGAAAGCTGTTAGTTATTTTATATTGCTTGTTGAAAACAACAATGGGACTTAACATTATTGAATTTTAGTCCATACAATTCAATCTGTTACCCATCCCATTTCGTTCAACTGGATATAGAAATCATTTTATATATTCATCGATACATAAAAAGATAGAAGAAACTTAGTCAAATGTTTGGTTCACAGAGCCAAAATTATTTGTCCTGATGAAATTCTTGGAGAGAAACTAGGAATTATTCATGGTTTACTACGTAGGCGCGGAAACCCAATAAAGTTTTTAATGAAACATATGTCTCCAAGTAAACCTAAAATAAAATCGTCAGAGGTAACAAAAAAGCCTATATTCTTGAAATTACAATTCAAAGTTGATATATCCAGCGAGATAGTAACTCGACGTATACAAAAAAGCCTTAAAACGTACATCAAACACGGCATTATGTCCCACTTTCTTCGGCCAGTCAATAGTGATTTAACGAAATAAGGATAAATTTCCCCGTTCCTCTGCTTTTATATACATTTACAATTTCAACGGAGCCTGTTATAGTGGGTGCACAACTAGAAAAATGTAATCTCGTATTTCTGAACATCACACTTCATGGTTGACCAAAAGACCAAAGAAAGTAATAAGCTCTATCTTGGCGCATCTTGTCGATACCGGCCATCATATAGATAAAACTTCAGCATTTGAAGTTATTTATAAAATCTCACTAAACTTACCATATGGCTCCAAAACCCGACTCTTACATATAGCAGAAGTTATGGAAATACACACCAAAAAACCTAACCTTTGTATACAGAAAAGGTTTATACAATCTTTGAATCTACCTTAGTCTTCTATGTATATACCATTACATGTTTTAAAACCTTTCCTCTCTTTACCTTGGAAAGTTTCCGAGCTCCGACTTTGTTAACATTCTAATTTTCAAGTCTAATACTGCGTAACCTGCTTATGAATCGTATCTAGTTTTAACTGTACCCGTCCTACTAATAACTCATCATCAATTTCACAGATAACAAAAACCATTTATGTTTACATCCAATTTTAATTACGTAACTATTTGTAATAATTAACTCATTATGAAAGTTTACTTTGGTCTTAATCTTAATGTTCCAAACGTTATTTAACTATCTGATTATATCTTATTAAACTGACAACCATCTGGTTGGTACTGATGTTTTACTGATTTATATATATTTGTGTAGAGCCTCGATAAAGAACTAATTAAATTTGTAATGTTAACTAGAGTAGAATAAAACTGTATGAGTGTTAGAGTCAGTCAGTTCAAATGAAGGTGGGATATGCTAAATCACTGGCTGATAGCCTAAGTTGTGTGGTAAGTTTTTAGCTCCACAAATATGTTGAAATTAGCGGAGGGGTGCCAAATAAGGTACGCCTTGCTTACGAGTGCCAAAAAACAAGAAAACTAGGTAAAGGGTTTCTTATCTACTAACTCCAGCTACGTAACATCTTAACACATATACCATGGCAGTTTTCTGGGGCTGATTTTTTCAAGAAAGATAGTTTAATCATGATCTACAAATTTATCTGATTGTCTAAGAGGATTTCGTTTCAATTTTGAGCTACGCAACTACTTTTTTGATATATGTGTGTATCTGTATTAGGTACGTTTTAAAAAAGTCATGCGTCACTTTGAAAATGACTTGTCAACATAACGAAAGTAATCCAACAGACGAACACTATCAAGTTTTACTTTCAATTCTATAACGTTTACTTTGGTACAGGTGCATTTGAAACATGTTGGCTATTGAATGTAATGACTGATTATGCTATTTTAGATAGTTTTAGTTGATAAAATCGATCTAAAACGTTTTTGGAAAAGTACTTTTAGTTTAAGTTATTATTTGCTGTTAATCCCATTTTACAAGTAACTAATTTGTATATCCATAAAAAATACTGAATGTTAGACGCGAACAAATCGGATTACACTAATTATATAGTTATAATCTTTCATTAAAAACCAAAAAATACTAAACATAGATAACATTATGTGACTTGAGGGACAGTTGAGCACGTCACGTTACTAGGCCTCCAAATGCCCTGGTACGGCTGAGAGCGGAGGAGAGTCCGTTCTCCCTCTCAAAATGCTCTCACATGGCCACGCCTATATAGCCTCTGCCAGGAAATTCCTACTCACGGCCTTCTCGTAAAGGTGGTGTTGTTTATGAAATTGAGAGGACGAAAAGCGAATGCCTGGCGCTTTAACCGAGCTGATGGACACGGAGAGTCCACCTAGGGGAATTGGAAAACCCTGATTCTAAACCAATGGTGCACACGGGCTTCAGTATCCTGAGGGAACAAATGGCGTATGCATCAATCGTTGGTCACCGGCTACCATGGGAATGCATCTCCTCACGATGCTCCACTTCTTTGTGGATCAGACCTTTAGGTCAAAGGCTCCGGATGTGGCCCCCTAAGAAAACCACCTCCCTCAGTTTTGGCACCTGGGCAGTATCACAGCCCTCACATAAATCTCATTTGATTTGTGCGGCGCATATGTTTCCGGTGCTTCCTTGTACAAATATTTATGTGTTGAAATAAATAAAATAAATCACTTTACTAGTATTTTACCACAGATGTCTTAGAAATATTGCTTGTATCTGCTAGGATCACCGGGTAAGTAATAGTGAGGTTAGATACAGGGTATCAGGGAATGATGGTAAATCAGTTGATGAGGTCATGAATCTTCATCAACTGAGATGGTTAGGCCACGTGTTACGTATGCATGAGCACTAATTACTACGATGCGCAATGTTGACTAGTATAGGGGATGGTTAGAAGAGAGTTGGGGGCGACCAAACCAAAAACATGGCATCAGTGCTTGAAGTCACTAACTTCTAGTCTGAGCCATGTTGGTAGATACATACTACTTGGTTAGGGTCCGCGTGACTATTGTAACCAATGGTTGGAGACTGTGTGACATGGCTCAGAATCGATCACAATGGAGTAGGTGTATACACGCTCTGTCTTCCCTTAAACCTTGGGATGAAAATTGCTTTATATCTTTCTCCTTGTACAATATTCTTATACACAATTTTTCTTTATATATTACCACCATTAAATTAACTACTTCTATGAGTTCGGTGTTCATCTTGCTGTGTTAATGAGGTATGGCAACTTGGACCGATGCATATATGTGCCTGGTCCTACTTTGTAGCTGACTGACTAACATTTTTTGATCAAGTAAAATTAACGTCCCGAAAATCTTGTTTGCAATTAAGCATGAAACACTGATAATCGACGTCAACATCCAGAGTGTGGAAATTTAGTGGTCAATGTTGATACTAGGGGGAAAAGTTATCTCACGCTTAGTTTACTTGAGCACAAAATATCGATTTACTTACTGTGGACATAGCTCGTAAGTATTCTGGTGATTGCCAAAAGTGAAAATGTAAGTGATTTACAGAAGCATGGGCCAATAGACTATTGAAACCCATACACGAATATCTGAAAATTAAGAATCTTAATAAAATTAGCTGAATTACTAGTCCTATTGCTTTGGAATAAACATACTGCAAGTATGAACTAAAAGTTCATTACAATGAAATTTAGTGAGAATATTCTAAGGTTATATACAAATACTTGTTGGGAGGGGAGGTAATTTTCTTGTTTTTTTGTTTCTTAAGTGTGGAAACTTGAACTGACAGATTATTATGTCTTTGTTGCACGATTATCCAAACTGCGAAATATATAAGTATAGTTTTTTCTGCAACCAAAGTTTTCAACTGCCGTATAATACGGATGGTAGAGAAGGAAGTTAATTTCCGAAAACAGAATTAGCAAAGTATTACATTTAGTGGCTACTTCATAATGAGGGCTCAGTTTGAACCATTAGGTGATAGGTTTTGAACTTGCTTCACAGACTTCGGTTTGGTCAGCCTGACAGCCCTAATAGTCTTCATAAATAAAATGGTTCAAAACCAATCCAATAAACACATACTTTGTTGGTGAGTTGCATAAAAAAAATAGAACTGCATATGGAGATTTGTGCAAGCAAGCATGGTATGAGATTTGCATAACTGAATTGCGAAATGTCAACGAATTTACCTAGTACAAGTATATATTATGCGGCTTAAAACTACAGGTTTTGTAGGTTTGCAATGAGTGGATTGAGATTCCAACTTTGACCTACTTTTTGAGAATTGAGCGTTTTAATCTATAATCAACTGCTAAACTGTAGAAAATACTCTAGAAGCTTAAGCTTATTGATAGTTGTTATTATCATAACGAGGGTGGAAAAACAAGATGAGATGGATAAAACGAAACAGAATAGCACTGAACTTGTTACATAGAAATAAAGAATGGGTGCACTTCTGAATAGGGATTAGTTAGGCATACATTCCACATATTCCGATTAACTAGGTTGATGAATGCTTATGGCCTGATCAATCGACTCACCACTTTACCTAGAACACTGCTTAACCTTAGGATTACGTACTTAGTGGTCTAACTAAATGCGAGCAGTGTTGAGGACAGCTACGCTGAATTACATGCGCTGTACGAATGCCTTCTACTTTATTAAGCTGTGCACCAGTATTAAAGCATTACGGAATACACGAATGTGAAGTGTAAATGTGGTCCGGAATGGTGAAAATCAACTGACTTTTCTGAATCCGTGTTGAAATTTTATAAAACACTAACACAACAGTGATTATGAGGCTTCCAAATCAACTGAAATGGTAAGCGTACTTAGTAAGTTCACACCCAGTAGTTAGGTTATGGACTGATGTACGTTAGTTCAGAAGTAAAGTTACGCATTTAGAGAGGTAGAGAAATTGATCGGATCCTTGTATTATCGTTCAAAGTATTCATAAAACTGCAAGTTGTCTTTACTCTCAGTCAATAATTAGATCAACTACTAAAATGCGCGACTATGTATGACATGGTCAAATAGCAATTGTGGTTGTGGATAGCCCAGACAAACAACGCTTGGGATAGTTAATTAGTCAATTTACGTGCTTTTTTGCATGAGGTAATTCGTTTCCTATAACCTTAAAAAAACCATAATATATAAAAGAAACTGAAAAAAATCACCCTAGGCTGACACGAAAGTCTAGAAGTTTCAAAGATAGAAATATGATTATATTATTTTTAACAATATAGATAAAATAGCTTTTACAGACAAGTTGAATTAAGTAGTAAAGGAACGAATGTAAAACTAACCTGTTGCTACTCAAAAGAAAACACTTGATTACTGAATAAAAGGAGTCTTTTCCAAGGAACTAAAACTGTCAAAAAATATGCATCCATACCTGATTGTGGCATTTTTCTACTTCCGGAACCAAAAGAGAATGTAAATATGAAAATGGACTGACATTTATCAGTATAGAACATGATTTCTGAACATAAAAAAGCGATATGCTTACTGTGGCATGTTTTTCAGAAACATTTAACAAGAATTCATGTTTGGGGACTCTATTAAAATTGAAGGATTCGGACGAAAGTTGATCATTAATGCTTTTAAATGGTTGTGGTTTACGCCGATGGCTGAATCGATCATTGTTAGGCTAGAGTTACGTCGTTAACATAATTCGCTTACTAAAATTAAGATATTTACATTTCCAGAACAAATTTTCTTTACTGAACTCAATGATGTGTCAATTTTGTAACGAAAGTAATTGGATTCATAAGCGAGAGTCCATAAGGAATCCAAAGTTTTATCGAACTATAGTAAACGAGAATTTAAAGTGCTGTTACTTTCGAAGCAGTATTAGTTGACCGCAATATAAGGTCTCCATTTGTATACTCGAAGTTCATGCAGTAGAAGATTTCAATATACGGAAGAAGGTTCTGAAAAATTAAAACTGATAACAAGTATGAGTAATCATGAGCTTATGAAAACAGTAACATAAGATAAAAATAATAGTAACAACATTTAAATGAATTGACTGAATGACATTACTGTATTTTTTTAGAACGTATAAAAGTACTTCAAAAAACCTTCGATAAAATAATGCTCTAAACATTAAGTACTCCATCAAACCCAAGTATGTATCATTTAATGTGCTATATGTAGCTAGAGTTATGAGGACCAATTTCGCCGGTTAATAAGCAGAATCAAATATATTATAACACAGTCAACCAGTTATAATAAATGTAGAGCATAGAAATTGACCCTTTATACTACTAAAAGGTTCCTGTTGAAGCAAATAATGAAGAATTATCATCTGAGATGATGCCACCTAATGGCATAGAAGTGTAAGTTTGCTTTACAATAGTCAGCTTTATCATCTTGTACAAGCTATATGTGACTGATTACGATAGGTAGGTATGCGAGTATTATTGGATAGAATCCAGCATATTTTTTATGTGAAAACTAGAGTAGATGTAATTGTGGATACTTACTGTTAAGCCAATCTTAAGTAATTTGAGATATCATTAACGTTTATTAAGGCGCTAAACTATGCTTTCACGCCCACTGGATATGAATGTGCGTCTGACAGAAATATATTTGAAACTAAATTTAGCTTACAATATTCATATAAGCCATCAACAGAAAATCCGGTCTCATGATCACTCGTCAACAAAAGAGTAGTAAACAGCATTTACACAATGAATGACTTTAATAAAAACAGAGGTACGCTAAAATGACGAAAGCTGAGTTTAAAATCAAAAACCAAGACATTAAACCTACAGAGTACAAATTTTCCCACCGACCAATCGAATCTCGACAAGCGAAGCAAGATTGAAAACAAACACAATCTCGCATCACACAATGTACATAGTGGGAAATGGCAGTGAGGTTAAAAGTAGAAGACAAAACGGAATGAACAAACGGAATATATGTGGTTTATAAGTTTATTCTCTGACATCATAATTTATAGATGACTTTTGAGCAATGGTAAAATGACTTTGCGAATGCCCACCTACATAATAGGGTTAAATGAGAGTTATGAATTGATGAGGAATTAATATTGGAAATTAAAATTGGACGTTAGGGCCAGCAACCAGACTTAGTGCTTTCATCACGAACTGGCATCAGCCATAATGCCAAAATGCTATTTAGCCAAATGGATAATGAATTTGGAGCGAAAATCCAACGTTGGATTGCGAAATGCGACTGGAAAACCGGAAATTTCCACATACTTAGGGGAAACTCTTGAACGTTCAGAAAAATTTTGGGTTTTCGTCAATATATCCACCGATTTCGGGGAAATCTATTGAATCTGATTGACAAAGCCCCAGAATTTTTGTTGTGCATAGATGATTACAATCACACTTATTTTTATATTGGTCGGTTCTTACTTTCCATAAACAATCACGCGTGGCCATTTGGAACTAGGGCCTGGACACTTTTTAGCCTCATATACATAACACTTGGACCCGGGCTTTATTATTCGCGGACAAACAGCATCTAACCCCAGATTACTATTTAACGAGAGTGCATAAATAGAATGTGATTTCAATGAATTTTCTTTGGAACTTAATTAAGTATTTTCTTTAACGTAGCAACCAGATAAAACGTTGCAACGACGTCAACATTTCTAAAAGTTACAGACTGGTCACACTCTCATGAATCCGTGGAAACCTAGGGGTTCGCCACGAACTTTAAAAAACTATGTTTATGTGGGAAACAATAAACGAAAATTTTTCGAACTATGTGAAGTCTGCGAAATCGACTGCAAATAAAAGGGAAATCCGTTTACGTACAGATAAAATTCTGGAAATATCCCTGAAACCTTGGGGAGATTTTAAGGTTTTCCTTAAGTAATGAGAAATTTTGGGAATAAATGAAGCAGACTTCTTCAAAATTGATGAACAATCTGAGTAACTATTCCGCAAAGTCTGGAAAGTGAGGTAATTTAACAGAATGTTGGACTTTGTTCAGAATCTATCTTTCGTTATCAAATCGAAATGTGAGCAAGACATACAAGACTCACATTGGAGTTACGTAGCCGAAGTACACTTGAAGGATGTATATCTATATTATGTATAAAGGAAACACGTTTCGACCTTGAGTTTGAAAAAGCACAAGGTCATTTATGATTCAGATTTCAGATTTTTGTAGTAAGAACAAAAGGCCTACGACCAATGATATTCCTTTTCTGGTATGCTTCTGTGCGCGTCCGGTCTTCTGTTGGATGAGTTAACTGAGGGTGTGGACACCACTGCTTCAGGTAACAGGTTCCAAGAATTGATGACTTGTATGCCACGGGTATTTTATTCGTTCTTGGCTTTTCTACTCACTTGCAATGTCCTCTGAGATTAACCGATATACTGAAAAGAAAAAGAGAGAATGCGTTACGTTTACGATCATTTTTTGGTATTCTATACATCAAAATAATATCACCTCTTAATCTGCTATGGGACAGAGGAAAGAGATCTAACTTATCAAGCCGCTCTTTGTATGGTAAGCCACAGAGCCCTGGAATTGCACGGGTAGCTGCCGTTTGTGCTTCTTTCAGGATATTCGAGTCACCCTTTAAACAGGGGCTCGCAGGCTGAACGCAGTTCTCAAGCTTAGTTCTCGCTAAGGTTATGTATATTGTAGTGAACATGGTAGTATCAAACTGGATAATGTCCGTCTCAAAGCCCATAGAGTTCTAAACTCCGTAAGTGCAACCTTCAGGCGGTGGGCCGTGGTCTTGAGATCATGAGTCACTGTCACCTCAAGATCCTTGTGAGACTGGACTATTGGTACAGGTACTTCCACTGTGCTGTACCTATTTACTTTTGTATCCCTAAAGTTCATTTAGACACAGTTCGCCGCGTTGATAGACATCAGTCACTCTTTAGACTAGCTAATCACAAAATTTAAGTCTGCCTGAACAGCACATGCATCTACGTCTCCAGCTATTACTCGCCATATTTGTATACCGTCAGCGTATAATAACATTGGGGACTCTACTATACTTGAGAGATCATTTACACACAGTATGAAAAGTGAAAAAAACCAGGGCAGAACCTTGAGGTACTCCACTAAGTACTGGTCTCTAGGTAGAGCACTTGGAATTTATTCTTACTTTCTGTATACGACCTACTAGGAAATCCTTAAGGCATTTTGGGAGAGGTCCGGCATTACCAAGATTTTCTAACTTCATTAGCAGTCTATTTGTTGACACTTATCAAAAGCCTTACTGAAGGCTATGTAGATGAAATCCAGTGATTTCCCGTCGTCTAGAGCCTTTTTTCAGTGCTCCTTTGCTATGAGGAGGTTCGTTGTACAAGATAAACCCTTTCTAAAACCATACAGTTCTCTGTTTGGCAGGCTATTGGTTTCCATAAATGCCATTATGGTCTTTTTAACTATTCTTTCCAGTATTTTGACTACGACACTGGTGAGTCTGACAGGTTTGTAGTTCGATAAAAGTTGTCTTGATCCTGTTTTATGTATGGGAGTGACGATTGCATCCTTCCAGTCCGTGGGTAACACACATTTCATTTTTCCTCTGAGATTCACAGATTTTAATTATGCACATGTTTCTTACCGACCTGTAGCGTTCCATTGTACTTGCTGTGCCATGACTGATGACAACATTCTAACATTTCTTCTTATGTCTTAGTAAAGTGAATATCCCGGCCTATCCAGGGATGGCCGTGTCTTCTCTTCTCTGGTACTATCCAAAGCATGTATGGTTGAGTTACCTGATTGTATAACTGCCTGAAATGAGTTCATGCCTCTCTTACTGATGCCGTTTAGTCAATTTCCCAGTTTTCAGCCGATGCTGCAGAGTTGATAGCCTTCATGTCTGCCTTCTATATGTTGAAACGAGCAGGCGCAATTGTTTGACAAGCTTTCTCAACCATGAATTTGAATAATATGACTGCTTGGTCACTTATCTTAGTGCTGGGATGAAAGTCATTCGACCGACGTCATCACCGTATGTGAAGACTAAACACAAAAAAGAAGGGGAGTTTCTTAAATAACATCTGTTTGGATTTCTAATATGAAACCTCAATTGCACTTGCTTTATTCCAGCAGTTTGTAATCAATTTAAAAACCCTTAAGGACGAGATTTCTTTCACATCTTTGGTGACAATACTTGTTGTCGGAATACTCCAAAACAGCTTTAGTGAACTTTCTTTAAACGCCTTCATTTTCGATCAGGTCATTACGCCTGTAATTACTGCAAACTAGAATGCTATATTCAAGAATGGGTAAGATACATTTTTGTAAAATAATAATCCCGACCAGATATTATTGAAGTTTATCGTTATGAATCCAATGAGCTTTCTAGCTTTGGATAATTGAGGTGCTATGTGTTCGGAAAAGTTCAAATTGTTGCATATCTCAAACCCAAGTCACAGGCAGTGTTGAGAAGTTTCAGTGTATGGTTGTTGTTCTATCCCGAAGAGAACTGTGAATGGTAACTCTTGAGGGCCGATGTAATATGTCTATTTCCTATTGTATAGCTTTTACGTAACTAAACTATTCATATTCGTGTTCCTCTTATCATAAGCTTTATTTTGACCTTTGACCTATTGTTATACGATTCTTGATTTATCATCAATTTATTGACTACTTTCCCCCTATTCACAGCCACATTTGGCCAATTATTGTACAAATGGTATTTTCAATTTTATGGTACGATGTGGTATGTTTGGTTGGTATATAAACCCAGTATATTTGTGAATAATGATTCATATTGCAGAGGCTGTTATTGGTGTTCTGGACTTAACTGGCTGGGCTAGGCAGAAAGCAGGACTAACAAGTAGTCAAGACTGCTCGTAGGGTTTTATGTATCATTGCTCCGGTCGATAAATTTACTCTTCTCTAATTGGGCGTTCACTCACACGTTATAACAACTGACAACGGGGTAAATAAAAAATGGCTCTAACTTCCGATCAATTACAGTTGCTATTCCAGCGACAAGAGCAGCGTTTTAGAAAGAGTCAGTTGGAATTCATTGAAAAGTTACACGCAAAGCTGCTGAATCATCCATGCTTTGGGGGTGCAAGGGAAGTTGACGCATTAATTTCTAAATTGCGTACAGATCTGGAAATCGATTGCAGAAGGAATGAATATGCCGGTGAAAGCCTCAACAGTAATTTAAACGAAACAATAGCAGTCACATATGATCAGCTCAGTAGTCCAGTACTGTCTGTTTCAAAGACATGCCCTATAAACGGTCGAAGTCCTAATTCGCTCTTCTCTCATTGGCGGGAATCAACACATTCATATATAAAACATGGCATGCAGGCGCACTCACACGTAATAACAGTTGTGTGTAGCCAGACTTAGGTTAAGGCAGCGGCCAATGTGGATAAATCCACTTTTGCCAACATTAAGTGGGAGAGTTCCCGAAACAGTCCATTCGTACAACTTGTTTATTTGTTCATGGATTACAGCTAAAATATAGTTTTTCTTGGTGGGAGAATAGAATGAATAAACCACTTTCAGGTCATCGACAAAAAGTGAAGATTTACCGTATTGAAAAAGGGAACACATGTCATTGATGAAGGGGAAGAGGTGTAACGGGTCACTCACACAACCTTATATAACCCAACCTGTTACATTCACAGGTCTTTAGTTACAAGATCCAAAGGGGATGATTTAGCTACGTTCTGCTGAAAAAGATTTGAACCAGGATGAAAGAGGATTCCGTATGCCGAATAAAGAACATTTCAGAGGAAATTTGTATGAAACACTGTTAAATAGGTGTAGCCCACAAACCAACAAAGTCCCTCCACTCAATCTTATGCAAACCAAAAGATGAAATAGCAAAAGAGGACAAAACAAACATCATCTACAAGATAAATTGTACCAACTGCAACAAACACTATATTGGACAAAGCGGACGCCCCCTGCACCTTCGCCTACATGAACACCAATTAACAGTCAAACGTCACGACATTTCTTCATTCATATCAATACACGTGGACAACTACGAACATACATTCGACTGGGAAAACGTGCAGATTTTGGACAGAGGCAATTCCAAAAATACCGGAGAATTTTTAGGAGCTTGGCACTCAGGTCAATCAGCAATAAACAAACATATTGAAATCAATCCAATCTATCAACCAATCAAGAAAATTATGCAGGAAGATAGGAACAGAAATCAAACCAATAGGAGATACAACCAAAACAAAGAAATAAACAATGACAGATTTAAGGTCAATAAGAACCAATCAACATCGAGGTGCAGAGGACAAGCTGTGAATCACATGTGGAGAAATTCAAACACTTCACTTCTACCCGAAGTTTGTGCTGATGATGTCGTTCAGAAGGACGATGAAAGCCCCACGACCAAATCACCCAGCTCAGAGAACAAACCAACATAAAAATCACCCACCTGAGCTACAAATCTTCTCCACTGTTGAATGCCTTACTAAAGGCGAATTTCCGAATTATTACTGACTGACCGACATCTCTTCTCTGGGTAATATGATCAAAAGATTTCAGCTGCAATGTGAAGTATGAGCGTTTAGTCATAAACTCGTGTTCAGATGAGCTAATCAGGCCAGCTGAAAATAAAAATGATAATAGCTGTTTGTAGATGTTTTTCAATGGTTCCTGATAGCACAAATGTAAAGTTAATTGGCCTATAGTTAGTAGTATCCCTCCGTGATCCCGTTTTTAATCTAGGGCTGATGAGATGTTTTCCATACAGACAGATAGTTCAAACACTTATAAACAAAATATTGGGAATTCTCTACTACCATATTTCACAAATGATGAAGGAATCCTATCAGGTCCGCCGTGGTAGGTCTTTCTCAGGGCCGTTATGGCCTGCATGATGGTGGTGTATATGAAATCAATTATGTATAGATGTCTAGATGTCAACATTGGAAATGTATTGATAGAGGTTTCGGTTTCCCTGTTGTATGATTAAGAGAAATGCTGGCTGAACTGTTCACAAATAGTATCAGGTATTGTGGTTGCCAACAATATTTATGTTAACTATGAAGAATTTGGTTGTGCCAAGAGAATTCGATGTCACATAGGATTTGAAAAGCCGAAGCACTAATAACTCTGTGCTTTATTTTCAACAGTCATAAGATACTTGCGTTTAGATGAATTATTTCTGTCGATCAGGTTAA